AAAGATGCCGAGGAGAAACAAAAAGGGCGAGTAAACAATCCAATTTCAGATCTAAATTGACACTCAAGACTCATCAAATTTCAAGTCCAATCATTTAAAACCCAGCTACTACATTTTCATTGTGTTCGAATATAATCCTATACGACTAAACTTTTTAATCTACCATTCCCATTTTTAAACTACCACAAAATATTTTTGACAAATATAAAAAAAATAACTATCTTAGTCATACATGTATATAATTATACGAAGCCTTAGCATTTATTAAACTACAGTTATATATTTTCAAAACATGTCATGGCACATTGAAAACAACAAACTATATTTCTTGTCGAATAACAAAATTATTTCTTCTTCGTTCCCATATTATAGTTGTATAGTAACAAATACCTATATTTGGTTACATATGGTTATTAACTCACTAATAACATTAAGATCCAATTAAATCGTAAATAAATGTAGAAATACGAACACATATAAATTCGTCAAACACTCTTATCTGTAAATAAAAACAAGTATTTACTCACTAATAAATATTGATCTCTAAACATTCCACACAACCCCTTAACAAACATGTTTCATCTTTTTCTCTTCAATCCATTAAACTATATTTCTTTGTATAATTTAATAAAATCTTAATTTTTCTTTAAACTAGTTGCATACTCCCCGCGCAAGCGCGGGGCCGGAATCATTATGTTTGCGTATATTTTTTTCGATTTAGTGGTTTAGTGGATTCTTCTAATGACACCAAATATTAATGAAATGGAAAGAATGTAGTAAGAGTGTAAAGTGAAAATATTGTATATCTAATGTGTTAAATGTTATTTATATGCGAAGTAAGGTTTATAGGAACAGTTAGGTTATAATATAGTTTTTAGTGTGTAAAAGTAGGTGTCTATTTTTTTTTTTTTACTGTAAATAGTTTTTATATCGTATGTCAAAACTTGATATAGTTCTATATTTATAGTATTTATATTTGTATTAAACGATTTATCAATTTAAAAATAACCTTAATTAAGTTAATATTCGTTGTTTAAGTTTCATTAGATAGGTTTTTATATATGGTTTTTTGTAAGTTTGGGTTTTGTTCATAAATGATGGGGTATTTTTATCTACGGCGTCATCGAGGAATCCATTCGCCGAAGTCTAGAGTCGGTGGTGAGGAATGTTTTCAATGAAATTATAGTAGTTATTAAAATGTAAGAGTAATTACATATTCATTTAATAAATAACGAAAAATACTTAAATTTTGTTGTTTATTTTATTTTATTTTATTTTATTTCACATACAAATTTTTTGAAAATATATTAGGAATGAGTTAAATGTTATATATATACAAAGTAAGTTTATAGGAATAGTTAGGCTATAATATAGTTTTTAGTGTGTAAAAGTAGGTGTTTTGTTTTTGCTGTAAATATTTTTTATATCGTAGGTCAAAACTTGATACAATTCTATATTTATATTATTTATATTTGTATTAAACGATTTATCAATTTGAAAATAACCTTAATTAAGTTAACATTCGTTGTTTAAGTTTCATTAGATAGGTTTTTATATATGTTTTTTTTGTAAGTTTAAGTTTTGTTCATAAATGATGTGGCATTTTTATTTACGGCGTCATCGACTGTGGGAATCCATTCGCCGGAGTCTGAAATCGGTGGTGAGGAATGTTTTCAATGAAATTATAGTAGTTATTAAAATGTAAGAGAAATTACATATTCATTAAATAAATAACGAAACTAATTAATTTTTGTTGTTTTTTATTTTATCTCACATACAAATTTTTTGAAAATATATATTAGGAAATATGTGCAATGATTTCACTTTTTGAGCTCTTAATCTATATTATTCAAGTCTCATTAAGCCATCCACGTAGGTAGCCGCGTGGGATTCACTTTTTTTTTGGTTGGTTCGTTTTTGGATTCATTTTTTATTATTTTTGGGTTGAACTATATTATAATAGGATAGTTTTAAGGCTCTTTAAGCCATCCGCGTAGGCAACCGCGTGAGACTTGCTTTTTTTATTTTTTTATTTTCGTTTTTGCATCCATTTTTAACTATTTTTAGTTTGAACTCGTTAACCTTTAAGGTTTATCCAACTATTTTGATCTTTAAAACAACAAGTCATAAACAAAAACATAAAAACCTTACAAACAAAAAGCCCATATGATAATAACCCAAATAAAAAAATCAAAAATAAATGATGGATGCGTGGTTTGAACCCACGATCTTGCATGTTTAATTAGACACCTTATACCATTTGGCTAAAGTGTATTTCATTGTTTGTAATCATCTTACCAAAAAAGCCCATATAATAATAACCCAAATAAAAAAATTAAAAATAAATGATGGCTGCGTGGTTTGAACCCACGATCTTGCATGTTTAATTAGACACC